CGGGAAGTTGCCAGTCATCTTTGTGTGTGTGTTGTTGTTGCAATAAAGCCCTTCCGAGAACTAGAAGTCTCCCTGCCTTTTCCTGAGCTATGAGATAGCACAGTCACCATTGCACAGAAACCACAGAAGTCATGGAGAAGAAGGGCTGGATGGGACCTCGAGAGGCCATCTAATCCAATGGTTCTCAACCTTTTTTGTACCAGGACCCATTTGTAAACATTGATGGCCAGCCCTGACCTAGTGCCACTCACTCCTGACCCACTGCTCCTGCCAACAAGCCCCAGCCCCACAATGTGTGCAGCATGGGGGGCCCCCAGCAGCCCCTTGCAGGCTAGCACTCTGCCAGCCCCAAGGGGAAAAGCCAGAGGTCCCCACATTTTTTTCCTTTCAAGGAGAATCCATTTTTAAAGTTTGTTGATCTATTTTTAAAGTTTGCTCACAACCCTTTCATATATTCTTGCGAACCACTTTTGGTTCATGACCCACAGGTTGAGGAATGCTGCTCCCATGAACCACGCGTGCCCCCGGAGGCTGAAAAGGCACCGCAAGTGCCCATAGGCAGCAGTGGCAGTGGCATAGTGGCGGCGGCGAGCAGGGAGCTCCCCCAGGCAGCCATGGCGGTGTTGGCAGTGGCAGGGGGTCAACCACCTGCAGATGCCACTGGCAGCATCAGCCGTTGTGATCAGTGACCGCCCGCAGATGCCACCGGTAGTGTTGGCAACATAGGGTGGGGTGGTGGGGAGTGGCGAGCGGCGACCACCCGCAGGCACCACTGGTAGCATCAACAGCGCTTCTCTCAGGGGGTGCACTGCCAATCTCAGGGGGTGCACGTGCACATGCGTCCACCCCCTACACTTTGCCAATGGCTGATCTAGTCCAACCCCCTGCCTAAGCAGGATGCTGGGCCTCTGTCAGCCCACTGACACACCAATAGTCTAGGCCCTTCTGTGAGGCATCTTCAGTGTCCTTTCCCCCACTTCATCCGCCCCCATGCCTCACAGCTTAAGCAGCAACATAAAGCCAAACACTAACACAATTAGTTGCTGCTGGGGTGCCTATTCTCTAAGCTGTCCTCCAGGCTTCTTCTCAGCTCTGCTGGCATCTCCCGGCTTGGGCCCTCCAGCCTCTGGTACTGCTTCTCAGCTTTCTTCACCGAGAGCACCTTCAATTTGCACAAGCACTGTCAGGCTCCCTTTATCTGCAATGCTTTACAGAGCTCTCAGCAATGAACTCCCTCCTCTAGCTCTGCCCAGGTCAAACCAGCCCCTGCCTCAAACGCAGGGGTTATATAGTCCCTGGCTCATCCTCCTTCTGAGCTGAGGCCACCACAGCAGGTCCTTATCTAATTAGCTGCCAGCTGTTTATTATCTGGGGCTCTTCAACTTTCTGCCTGTACTCTCAGTAACAGGGCTTAGCCCCTGTTACAGCTGGGATGTGCCCAGAGCCATTGTAAGTCCACTATGCTGCCTTGTTCCCAGGGTTTAGAACAGGGGTAAGCAACATTTTTGGAAAGAGTCAGGTTGGTATGTTTTTGGGCAGTGCCAAAAACACCTGCAAACTCGGCCTGTAAGATGCTGGCGTGCCAGGGGTGGATGGCAGAGAAGCCACGAGGGACCCGATCCTTGTTGTGGCAGTGCAGGCCCAGCCCCTTCCCTGTCTGCCCTGAGTGCATGTGCCAAGCAACGTACCACACTCTGGCACCCATGCCAAGGGTTGCCTGCCTCTGGTTTAAAGTGTGCAGAGTGGGAGTCAGTGAACAGGGCACGTTTCAGGGTGGCAGCCCAGGCTGTGGTCCTGAGGCAAGGTAGGATTGCCCTGAGAGGCTGGAAAGGTAGGGGCTTGATTTGGAGTGCAACAAAACCAATGCCTTTGTCCCACATGTGTCACATGAGAATCACAGAGAGCTGCTTTCTTCCAACATCAAACAAGGGGCTCTGCCACAATCAGACTTGGGGAAAAAAAGAGTTCTTGGGCAGAATTAAGAAATATTCAGAAGCAGGAAGTTGCAGTTGAAGAAGACATCATGGACAGGATCCTATATTTGAATTATTGAAATGGAGCAGCTTAGTGTCTGTACAAGAACACTTGGAGGCGAGCGGCACCACTGGAGAGAATGAAATCCATCTAGGACCACAACGACAATATAACTAGGCTTCATGCCCCAGCTCCTCAACTGGCTCCTGTGGGAAGAGGCACCCACGATTGTCTGACTGCTCAGGTAAGACTTACCATTTATAAAGTTAGGGGCGCTCATTTCCATGAAAGGGACTCGATTGAAAATGGCATCCCGCTTACACTTCTCCACATCCCCATCATTGTAGATCATGTCCACAATCTCGCTGATCCAGGTTGTGCCTAAAATGCAGAGAACCCATTGGCAGTCAAGTGCGTTCTGCCTCCTACCATGTGTCACTGGCCATACAAAGCTAAACTCCCCCTATTTCCCTTCCCTGAAAGCCCCGTGTCCAGCTAAACTTGCCTGATTTGGGGTAGGTGGAAATGAGAAGGTCGTCTGGCCTGGCTTGGAAGGCCTCCACCTGGCCCCACTTCTCCACAAAGCACCAGTAGAGGGGAATGCCATGGATGCTCTCTAATTCCCTCCTTGGCATGTGTTCCTCTTCCATCTTGGGATGCCTAAGCTGAGAAGAGAGAGAGGAAAAGATTACAATGGTCTTTACTACTTAAATAATCACTGAATAAAGCACAGAATCAAAGAAAATGAAGATGGGAAGGGACCTCAGGAGGTCATCTAGTCCAACCCTCTGCTCAAAACAGGACCATCCCCAACTAGATCATCCCAGCCAAGGTTTTGTCTGCCCAGGTCTTAAAAACCTCCAGGGATGGAGATTCCACAACCTTGCTGCGTTCCAGCGCTTTACGACGCCTTTTCTTCTCCCCTGCCTGTCCTTCCTGAACAGTTTCATGACAGTACTCCCATCATGTGAGCTATCCTATCAAAACACAGTGTTACACCTCATGGGAACATGATATTTAGTTGTTGAGGGGTGGAAAAAATGGTACTGATTTCCATAGTGTCTCTCCCAGGAATGGATACATCTTTCTTCCCTTTCCCCTCTCTTCCTGCCAAAATAATTGATGTCGGAGACTTCCGCTTGGAAGTGCTTCTGTGGAGTTCAGCTGAGAACCCAGAACATTGTTACTGGTTCTCTGCCATAATCCTAACAACTTGCTAAAACCACACACACATTCATGTGTCTAGAAAGGAGAAATTAGAAGATCCAACCTGTTTCCCTGCTGCCAGTGGTGACACGTAGGGGGTGCATGGGGAACTCCCCCTCCCCCAGTCGGTGAGATTGGCTGCAGGGGACCCACCCCCCAGGTCAACGTGATCAGCTGCGGGGAGCACCCACCACAGTCAGGAAGATTGGCCGTGGGGGAAACCCCTGCGGTTGCTGGCTGTTAACTGGGGGGGCACGTGCCCCCCCTGACTAGGGAGGAATCAGTCGCCCATGCTGCCCCGCCCAACCTGAAATACCCATCAGTCTTTGTTGCCTCCCAGAAAAGATACTGTTCTATAGATCAGCAGTTTTCAACCTTTTTTCGCTTGCAAAGCCCTAAAAAATTTTGAATGGAGTTGCAGACCCCTTTGAATTGTAAGTGTGGGTATTCACATACTTTTGATTGATCATATTCATCTTTCGCGGGCCCCTTACACCAGAGGTGGGCAAAACAGGGCCTGCCAAGCAATTTCATCCGGCCGACAGGCGCCCACCAATTAATTGTACCCTATCCTCCCCAGCCCACATGCCTCGCTCCCACGCTCATGGTTGGGAGGGCCCCAGCCCCAGCCAGCACACACTGCTTCTGGGTGGGCCCACTACTGCCACTGTTGCAGCTACCAGGGGAACATCTTGACTTCTCTAGGCTCCAGCATCTGCTCCCATCCCTGCTGCAGCACTCGCTGCTCCAGGCAGCAGATAGAGAAGCAGCACTGAGCGAGGCAGAAGGAGCTGCAGCTGGGCAGCAGGAGCACAGAGCTTGGGTAGGCAGGGTGTGGGTATGAGTGTGTGGGGAGGGAGGGAGGGAGGGTGGGAGGTGTGGGGACCCCCTCCCATGGTGCACAGCCCCCACTGCTGGTGCTTGTGGCCCGTGCATGTGCAGCCACCTTGGAAGGCACAGCTTCAACCAGTTCTGGGAGCTGCACATGGCAGCAAGAAGTGGAGCCAGGTTCCAGTCTATCACGTGGGACTCCCTGCAACTCATGTGCAGCTTCTGGGGGAAAGCCCCATGTGATGGAGCCAGCAGCCTGTCCCTCCTCCTTGCCTCCACGTGCACTGCCAGGACTCTGCCGGGAAGCAGGGGGTGGTGCTCCTCGCCACTTCCTGCAGAGTCCCAGGAGGTGTATGTGGCAGCAGAAGCAGACGGCGGGCCCTCAGGGCACTCAAACCCCACACACCCACATCCCACCCCCACAACCCCACCACATATGCACACACCCCACAACATACCCTACACCCCCACACACACAGCCACACCCCCTCACAAACCCCACAGCACATACACACACCCTTCCCACACCCCATCATACATACACACCCCAACCACACCCCATACACAACACACGAGAGTAAGACTTTATTTTAGCTATTATGCAATCATCTCTATATATGCTATGCAAACACAGATAAATCAGGACAAAAATATTTTTTGAAATGCAGTTAAAATACGTTATAGTAGATGTTTGATTTTAGTATATGATTTGGATTTTTTCTGGTTCCAAGATGGCAACCCCCTGCTCCCAATAGGAGTACTTCCACGGGCCAAGGGAGGGACTTCTGGTCCCAAGATGGAAGCCAGGGAGTTGGGCACCTGCTATGGGGCAGGGCTACCCTTGCAGCCCTCGACAGCTCACCAAAACACATTAAGTGGCCCTCCAATTGAAATAATTGCCCACCCCTGTCTTAAAGACATAGTCTGCAGAATCCCAAAACTCCACAGACCACAAGTTGAAAACCACTGGTATAGATCCCTGTTTTCATATCTTATTTATTAGAGCACAAAGACAGGCCTTTTGGTTAAGCTTCAAGCTCAAGACTTGAGAGACCTTGGTTCAATTTCCTTATCTGCCACAGTCTTCTTTGACCTTGGGCAAGTCACTTAGGGCCTGAATACACCGGCTGCTGACAGACGTGAAAAAAAATCCATCCATTTACCAGAAGAGGATGTGCATCAGTTTGACCCAGTTCACCCTACATCTGAATAGATTACATGCTTCAGCAGGGCTTTTTGGTGCCTTTATCTAATAGTAGACATTGGGTGAGCCAGGTCAGATTAATGTGATGCCTCTTTTGGGCATGGGCTGTGCTTGACACAGGGACACACTGAGCTGAAAGTGAAGCTCTGGGGTTTGGTTTGGTTTTTTCCACGTTTGTACACAGCCATGATGTGCTTACACTGGTGTATTTTACAGAATTGCTGAGTGCCCCAGGCAGCAACAGCGCATGGGACAGCATCACTGGCTATGCTGCTGGCAGCACAGCTGGCCAAGCAGTCCAGCTATTACTACTTTTGTACTCTTCTCTCAAGGTCAGCATTCAGGACTGGTGCCCTGGTGCCACCACCCTTGTTACTCCGTGGGCAATTTACATTGACTTTATACACTAATATAAATTCTACCAGGATAGACACCAGCTATTCCAGGGGAGCAGCCTAAAATAGCTGATATTACAGCATCTTGTCAGCAAGTAGTAGGCAATAGGTTCACCTGCTCACCTATAGCAAATGACTATTCCTGGGGTAAGCTGCAGATAAACAACCCTTACCCTTGTGTGGGGTGGTTATACCCCTGATTTTCTCAGGATAATTCTACACCAGATTCAAGCAAGTTATACCATGGTGGGGCTGTATGTTGTGTGTCCACTCCATGTTTGCATCAGTGTAAAGATCGATTACATTAGTATAAACATGTTGGGTGTCCAAGCACCCCGTCTCCCTGCACTGCCATTCTCCATCTAAAATGGAGCACTTTTCAACCTCTATAGGGAGCTCTGAGAGTTAAAGCTTAATAGGTATCTAGTGCAACAGTAAAGGGGCAACAGAAGTACTTAGAAGAAAATATTAAGGAAATTTTTTAAAAGAAAGACTGCTCCAGGGTACATCAGATTGTCAGATTTCTGTGAGCTTCCCCCGAGCCTGGTGTGTAGGTGGAGTAGGATACTTCTGGGATTGGAATAAGTGATCTGATTGTTATCAAACATGTTAACTCTATGGCTCTGGAGAGTGAAATAAGTGCATTTTATTATGCAGCAAACAACTCTTTTGCAGTGAGTAATACAAACCATGTGGGTTATGATGTACTAGAAATGAATCCCTTGAACAGGAGATGGGGTTTTAGAAAGGGAAGCCCTACAATCTGCTGACTCTGAAACTCACGCTAAGCTTGGGCCTACTCACAAAAGTTAAAATGCAGAATAATAATGCTAACTGCATATTGCAAAAGGATATGAGTTCATGGCTAGGCCATCTAAGAAGGAATAATGAAGTATCTCTTCCAGGTTATCTCACTATATTCAGAATGATTTCAAGCAGACTCTTAGTTGTCTGGTGTGTAACCATATGAAATGTCTATCCTTGATTAATTAGTATGGTAAATATTTCTTTTGCGACTAACTCGTGTTTATGTGCAGGAAGAGACATTCTTCATATGTAATAGATGTCTCCTCCTCATTTAGTATGTTTTTCCTGGCTGTTAATCAGTTTCTTGATATGTTTCAAACTAGATAACCTCTTGTTACCAAAGAAGGTAACTCATTCAAATTCAAAATTTCTGATAACCAGTAATGAGCAGGTTTTGCTTGTCAATTACTGCTTGGGACTCTTTCTTGATTTACACAACTAAATGCTTTGAAGATGCTAAACTAAGGGTATAAAAAGGCAGTAAAACAGCAAACCGCACATGCTTCAAGAGTGAGAAATCTCTCTGACACCAGTTGCTGATGTGCCCAACTTACTTGAGAAGTTGAAGAGAAACAGACCACCTCTTCGTCGCCTGTTTGGTGAGAAATCATCACCTTATAGCTAATTACTGGACTTTAATTTGGTTTGGGCTCACTTGACTTGATTTTAAATACTTGTAGTAAATAAAGCCTTTCTGTCATTCATTGAACGAGGTGTCGTGTCAATCCCTGGGCTAGTCCAGAATCCGAGGTTTTTATTGCTAACACAATCTCACAGCTGTGATTTCGGTGAAGCTTGAATGAGCATTGTGCCGGTAAAACACTTTGTTTTCTTCTGTGAAATCAGTGACAGACTGCTTGTTCCCACTCTGATCTGTTGATCTGTTTTTCACATCATTTCTCTTATGTGTAAGGTAGGCAGAGACCAGTCTTCTAAACCCCAAACTTCCACCAGATTTTTAAGCTAGCTTTCAGTGGTGCATGATTTCCCCATACACAGATAGTGCCCCTGAAAGAGGGCTAACCACAATCACATTCTGTCTCTATCAACAGCTAATGAGGAGCTATGTTCATTCCTCTTTATGATCCATATGTTCATAAGTAACACACTGCTTATGCAGACACTAAACCATACCTTACACTGAACAACCAATCATCAGTTACTTATTGACCATCTCAATAAGCTGTGTGAATAGCTATGAGTTATGAATATTTTTGTCCTCCTTGAATAAGTTAAAGTGACCAACCTGCAGTACACATGCCACAGGCAGCCTCTGTATATGGCACACAGTAGATGATGGGGGAGACAAGCAGCACAGCAGCAGATAAGGCATGGAGCAGAAAGCAGATCAGCAGATCAGGTGGGAAACACAGGGCATGAAGCCGAAAGCACAGTAGCAGATTAAAAGGGGAGCACAGGGCAGCAAGCAGAAAGCAGAGCAGCAGACTGGGTGGAGAAAGGGGCTTAGTGACCTTTGAAAAGGATGTGGGCCTAATTTGTGGCATGCCTGCCAGAAAATTTAGCCCCCACTGGAATAAAGATTAAGATGAGGAAGATATAATTAGGAATTTAAGCAAAAGTTTCTCGAGCGGGAAACAAAAAGGACTCCCAGTGTAGAGGAAAGAAGGAACCCAGGCAGGGAGGCGGGAGAGTCACCCAAGAAACTACCAGGCTTGCTGGCTGCTGGGAACACAGACCACGCCAAGAAGATACTTCAAGTTAGAGAGTAGCAGAGAAGTATTTCTGGTTTTGCTTCATAGCCCTGTCTCCAAACCTAATAGTCCTTTTGTTCCTGTGTCTCTGTCTTATGTAATAGCCCTGTGTTGGCTTTTCACCTTGTAGCTTGTCTGGTGGTAAGGGTGAGTTCAGGGTGGCTGGCTGCCACAGGTATTCTGTTTCCATGAGAACTGCAGACCTACGGCATTTTGCAATCCCAGAGACCCTCTCAAAGCTGGAGAGTCCCTTCTCCACCAACCTGTAAGGTCTGGTCAAACAGGTTAGACTAAAATTTGCTAGGGGAGAGGAGTCTCCCAGGTCTGAGATCTGCTCAGATCTGCAGGAATATGTAAAAGGGCAAAGGGGAGAGATTCTGGGGCTCTGGGGTCACCCTTAAGGCTAGGCCAAGGCAGAATGTCATGCTGACAAAAATACCTTTGAAAGGGATGGTTTTCATTTTCTGCCTTCAGGTTTGTTCCTGGGAGGGAATATGGAGGAGCTGGAGCTATCTGAAACTGATAAATTCAACGACGTTCCTACCCTTTACACCCCACATTTCTGCCCCATATAAAACCCAAGACTCGTTTTTAGCCTGGAAAACTTTAAAAGCACAATCCAATGAGCACCAAGTCAATGGGATTCTTTGTTTTGCTTTTGGCAGGCGTTGAATCAGGCGCTAATTTTGGATAAATCAAATTACCATTTGGAGTTCCACAAATATTGAAGGGCTGCCTCAGTTGCTGTTCCCACTCTGCATGACATGTGGGAAAATGGATTCCTCTCTCCAGAATGGGGCATGGTCAGCCCTGAATATATGAAAGCTGGTCTATTTACATAGCATTATAGGTGAGCTCACTTCTTTTTGTCTCTTCCCTTCCCTTGTATCTTCCCTTCAGCTTGTATCTGCTCCAAACAGCAGGCCTGCCTTTGAGCTCCAATGCCCATACTCGGAAAGTCTTTACAGATCCCTGAGAAAATGTTTGAGTGTTTAACTTGCTCCTGCTAGAGAACATTCCTCAGCTTCAACTATCTGCCATAAAAAGCCAAGTTATCATGTCTCTTTAATTGCACGCTCTTGACATAAGAAATGCTGAGTCATGTGACCTTGGTTAAAAGAGGTGAATAACATATTCCAGTAAAATATATTACCCACAGAAATCTTTATTGCCATGAACAACTGGTGCCTCCCGAGACTGGAGTGGGGCACCATGGCAGTGAGCAAGGACTGCCTGCAGCCACCAGCAGCAGTGTTGGCAGTTGGGGTGGCAAGTGGGGACTGCCCGCAGCCGCCACCAGCCATGTCCGTGGCAAGGGGGTGGTGGGTGCGGGCAGTGACCACCCGCAGAAGCCAGCAGCGGCGGCCAATCTCGGGGGGAGGGGGCATGTGCCCCCCCCACCCCACCCCCGTGTCCTCCTATGCGTCTCCTATGCTTATTGGAATGGATTTGCTCACTCTCACTGATAGTTTGAGCCTCTTTGGGGTTTGCTGAGGTCATGTTTTTAAGCTTTTCTGCACCTTGAAGAGTAGAAGCACGTTTTTTAAAAGGACAGGTGGGATTTTCATAAAATAGCTTGCACTGCATTTTTATACCGCTCCTGGTAGAAGAACCAGAGTTAGCTATGCTGTAGTAGGCCCTGAGAAAATTTTAAAAGCTAGTTTTTCAATTGGGCGCCTTTCCTAGGTACTTATGACTTACAGCCACACTTTTCCTTTGCACCCGTGGAAAGAAGGACCAGGCCATAGCCCTTCGACCTGGAATATCTACAGTAGTGAGGTATTAAATAAGAGCTGGGGTGAGAGTGGTCTTGAGAAAGCAAAGAAGATTTCTGGGCAGAAGAGGCGAGTGTTGATAAGGGCAGGTTGCAAATCAGACCAGGCTTCCCTGCACAGAGACCGTGATTTGCCTCAGGCTGCACGTCACTAAGCACAGCACACTGCGAAAGGGCTCAAGCAGGGTGTGCAGGATACAGGGTGCCCCTGCTCCCAAGGCAAGCAAAACCAGTGCTCAGAAAACCAGCCCGCGCACCCACCATATAATACCTGGATGTGGGGTGACTGCAGAGGCTTTGCTTCGGGGAGACTTCTGCTCCTTATGTCCCAGCGTTGTTTCTAAACTTCCCAGACTTGTCTCTGATCAGATTTTGGTGCAGGAAGATTGTATCAGTGCTTCCTTTTTTACTTCTTTGCTGAGGGAGGGTCAGAGTAGACTGGATTTAAAGAGACAGCAGCTAAATAAGCCAGGCACTGACATTCCCTGGACTTTGTCACCCCACTCACCTGCAGCATGCAAACAGTCTCTCTTGAGCAAACTCCAGCATGGTCCTGTGCAGCTGTTGGGTTTCTCTAAGGCTAGAAATAGACACCACCAAATGAAGTGGATCAGCTGTACCTGGACACATCCTGGCACAGCTGATTCACTTTGTGGAGCGAAACACACATCCCACCCATTGATCTTGTGGGTTAGTGGACGATATGTTCCCCTCTTCCAGATATGTGCCCCTGGCAATCTCTGGGGCATGTCTCTAGAAGTCGAGCAAGGCTTTCCCCATTCCCCAAGATGCCCCCCTCAGCAATCTCCCAGCAGTCTCTAGATGCTGGGGATGCATCTCTGAAAGTGGGGAAAGGCTTTCCCTGCTTTTAAAGATATGCCCCAAGCATTGGTGATGCATAGGGGGTGCACGCAGGTGCACATGCACCCCCTGAGTGTGGCAGTGCACCCCCTACAAAAAGGCACCGCCAACACTGCCAGCAGCGCCTGTGAGTGGTCGCTGCTCACTGCCCTCCGCTACTGATACCACCAGCGGCGTCTGCAGGTGGTCTGCAATTGCCACTGGCTGCTGCTGTCAGCAGGTGGTTGCTGACCACTGGTCAGCGCTCGCCACCCCGCTGCCAACAGCGCCACGGCTGCCTGAGGGAGCTCCACACTTACCACTGCCACACTCCCGGCACCGCCAGTGCCACCGCCACCTGCTGGAGCTCGCCACGACCCCCCAGCCGCCAGCGGCACATGGCATTCATGTGCCCCAGAGATTGTCAGGAGTGCATCTCTGGAAGCAAGAAACCTCAGCTTTCCCCACTTCCAGAAATCACACCCTGGAGTACCTTTAAGCGTGTCCCTGGAAGTCAGGGAAGCCAGAAAGGTGCCCCTGAGGTTTGAGGGGAGCAATTCCGCATGGAAATTCCAGGGGAGTGCAGGACCAAGCCTCTCCAGCCCCAAATAAGCCTGCCTGCAGTGGTTGGAGAGTGTAAGTGGCTCTGGGCTGCCTGCACTCTCCGACTATAAAGCAAACAGACGTCTGCTGTAATAAAGTGATGTGAATTATTGCTATCTTTGGTCACGACCACATTGAAGTGTGAAGAAGGGTATGGATGTCCATTTGCTTCTGCTTTATGCATCCATAGAAAATTTTATGGTGGCACAAAGGCAACAAAAGCTTACCCTTAGCTGTCCTGGGGCCCAGCAGCACAAGAGCATGGGTACAGTTCTGTAATGAAAGCTTGGACTTGGTGTTCTCATGGTCCTTTTGGGGGTTTAAAACCGATGAAAGCATAAGCTTGTCTGCACTGCCTAAGCAAATCACAAGCAACGCATGACTAGAGACAGAGAGGAGCAGTGGTTTCAGTGGCAGGGCAGGGTACCAGGCTTCCCCTGTTAAGAACCTCAAAGCCATGCCTGTACTAAGGGGAAAGCAAAGTACCTTCACCCTTAGGGGTGTCAGCATCCAGGAGCGGGTGATTGCAGTACACGTGGAGATGCCTAAGCTAGCTTTAAACTAGGTAGTGCAGGCCATGATGAGTGTGGGGCCCAGCCAACAAGCAAGTGCCCCTTGAAGGGAAGTCCTCTATCCCCAAACTGGGACAAAGGGAGCTTACTTTGTCAGGCGGGGCCCTAGAATAAAGATCAGGCTAAATGTAAATTTAACCAGCATTCAGATCAGGCAACAGTAATGGAAAAACATACCCAGACTTGCGAGGAGTTATGTAGGCCAGACCCCAGGACCTCTGAGCTCGTTTTAGTTGTTTGGTACCCCCAGTGGCAGATTTACTGGGGCCCGGGGCTGCAGTAGGGGGAGGGGCCCCTTCCCTTCCTGGTGCTGCTGCTGCCAAGGACAGGACGGGCACTCCGAGGGAGTGTGACTTGGACGAGGGAGTGAAGTGTACTCTGTCCAAGTTTGCAGATGACACAAAGCTATGGGGAGAAGTGGACATGCCGGAGGGCAGGGAACAGCTGCAAGCAGACCTGGACAGGTTGGACATGTGGGCAGAAAACAACGGAATGCAGTTCAACAAGGAGAAATGCAAAGTGCTGCACCTAGGGAGGAAAAATATCCAGCACACCTACTGCCTAGGGAATGACCTGCTGGGTGGCACGGAAGTGGAAAGGGATCTTGGAGTCCTAGTGGACTCCAAGATGAACATGAGTCGGCAGCATGACGAAGCCATCAGAAAAGCTAATGGCACTTTATCGTGCTTCAGCAGATGCATGACGAACAGATCCAAGGAGGTGATACTGGAGGTGATACTTCCCCTCTATCAGGCGCTGGTCAGACCACAGTTGGAGTACTGCTTGCAATTCTGGGCGCCACACTTCAAGAGGGATGCGGATAAACTGGAGAAGGTCCAGAGAAGGGCCACTTGTATGGGTAAGGGCTTGCAGACCAAGCCCTACGAGGAGAGACTAGAGAACCTGGACCTTTTCAGCCTCCGCAAGAGAAGGTTGAGAGGCGACCTTGTGGCTGCCTATAAGTTCATCACGGGGGCACAGAAGGGAATTGGAGAGGTTCTGTTCACCAAGGCGCCCCCGGGGATTACAAGAAATAATGGCCACAAGCTAGCAGAGAGCAGATTTAGACTGGACATTAGGAAGAACCTCTTCACAGTTAGAGTGGCCAAGGTCTGGAACGGGCTCCCAAGGGAGGTGGTGCTTTCCCCTACCCTGGGGGTCTTCAAGAGGAGGTTAGATAAGCATCTAGCTGGGGTCATCTAGACCCAGCTCTCTTTCCTGCCTATGCAGGGGGTCGGACTCGATGATCTATTGAGGTCCCTTCCGACCCTAACATCTATGAATCTATGAATCTATGAATCTGCCCCATGGGGGAGGCTAGGTGGACCCGGCTGAGCTGGGGGTGGGGTGGCACATGCCCACTTCTTCTCCCTGCTCCCCGCCATCCTCACCTCTCCTCCCAGCCACGCATCCCCTCCCCACCTGGCAGCAGGTGGCACAACTTGCTGCCCCACTGCTGCCAGGTGGGCAGGAGACATGCAGCCGGTGTGGAGTCCCCAGAGCAAAGGCAGCAGGGTGGAGAGCCCCAAGCCTGCAGTGGGCAGCCTACACCCTCCCTGTGCACAAATCTGGGGGGCACATGCCCCCCCAATGCCTCCCCTCAGAGGTGCCCGCAGCAAACGAGCCGCCTGTGGCTCTGTCCTGCTCCCTGCCCCGGCCCCAGGTCCCACCCACCAGCCTGGCTGGGCAGCACCCTCTACCCCACTCCCTCCCTTACTGTGGGGGCCTCAATCTGCCTCCCCATGCCCCTTCCCCCCATACATTTATCTGCAGGGAGCTGCTCTCCATGCTGACCAGCTGTTCCAGGCCACGTACATGTGTGTGACCATACACAGGCGTGTGGTACCCCATGAATCTTGCTCCCAGCAGCCCCAAGCAGCCCCTTGCAAGCTAATGCTGCCTGCCTGCAAAGGGAAACCCATGGTTTCCCACAGGCACCCAGGCACCCAGGGGGGCCCTAATTGGCAGGGGACCCTGAGCACGGGCCCCACTGGCCTGTGTGTTAATCCGCCTGTAAGTACCGCCAGCAACTCAGGTCTATTACTCCTCTCTAATCCTCCCCAGATTAACAGTCACAGATAGACCATCATTGATGACATACATCTATTTACAATTTCACTGGGCATCCTGTATTTCCTCACATCCAAGATGAGGCTTTCTGCCCCCCACTCCTTCTCCCAATTCAGCATGAAGAAAAAATCCCCTCGTCTTTGATGCAAGCACAAGGCAACAGAGGGCAGGCAGCTGCTGTGGCTCTGGCTCTGACCTGGACTCAGAGTCAAAGCTACAGCCACTGTCCTGCCCTCTGTCCTCTTGCCTGTCCCTCTGCCTCTGTCCCACACTACCTCCCACTGCCCATCTCTGCCCTGTGCCTCACCTCCACTGCCTCTGCCCAATGCCCCTGTCACTGGTTACCCTCCTGTGGCCCAGCAACCCCTGCCTGGCCTGGTAGCAGCAGTGGCAGCTCCAGCCCAGACTCCAGCTCCAACCTGGGGCCAGGGCCAGGGCTCAGGCTGCCACTGCCACCGTAACTACTGCTGCTGGGCCTGTCAGGGGCCAGGACCAGCATGTGCTCCATGCTCCAGGCTGGAACAGGACTGGAACCAGACCTGGAGGATAAGTGGCAGTGGGGAGGGGGCAGACAAGTTGCAGGGGGAGCAATTGGTGGTAGAGGCAAGCACTGCAGGGACGCAAGCACTTGTCGGGGTGGGAGGGGGGCTGCTACTGCTTTCACTGCTGCAGCAGTGGTGAAGGATGAATTTAAGATGATCCTCCAACAGTTAGACACTACACACAGTAAATCATAACAAATTTATAAATGTTCCATGTCTAGAATCTGATTATTGGGAGGGGGGGTCATCTTAAATTTTAAATCACCTTAGATTCAGGTAAATACAGCATGTTAATGAAAGGGGTTGGTCATGAAGACACCCCCTCCTCCAGCTAAGTGAAAAATGTGTGATAAACACTTAATACCTGTTTAACTAGGATGACCTTTCAGAGATTCAGTCAGGTTTCAACTCTCGCCAATGAGTACTATTCCCTATGATAAGGGGTTTCAGTCACTTTGTTTGTGTTACGTGGTTGAGCCCTTAAGGTCAGTGCTTTCCTGCTTAACAAAACATGGAATCTGACCTTGCTAGCCTGTCTTTGTACAAGGCTACTCAGAATTTTCTTTATTACTCAGAACTTGCAGGACACATCTGGAGTGTCCAGTTTGGACCCCCCCACCACCACCAAAGAAAGGATGTGGATAAATTGGAGAGAGTCCAGCAAAGGGCAATAAAAATGGTTAGAGGGCTGGGGCATATGAATTATGAGGAGAGGCTGAGGGAACCGGACTGATTTAGTTTAGAGAAGAGAAAACAGACAGGGGAATTAATAGCAGCCTTCAACTACCTGAAGGGTGGTTCCAAAGCGGATGGAGCTAGACTCTTCTCAGTGGTGGCAGGTGACAGAACAAGGAGCAATGGTCTCAAGTTGCAGCAAGGGAAGTTTAGGTTAGATATTAGGAAAAAGTTTCTTCCCATAGCATGGGGAGAGAAGTCCTGAAGAAAGCAAGCAG